ATATATATATATATATATATTATTTCATGTAAAAAAGGTGAATTAAAGTATATATCGCAAGATTAATCTATTAATTATTTCATAAATGTTTGACAATACAAGTCGTACTTTATACTTATTGTAAGTTTTGAAATGTAATTTCTTCTGAAACTTGGATTTAAATTTATAATTGAGATTGATGAGACAGGCGGATACATAACTCGTCGAATAATTATGTACGAAGAAATCACTGTAAGATAATCAAATTTGGCGTAAAATAACTCTCGCTAAAGAGTAAGAAATAAAGGGTGGTTCTAAAGAAAATCTCCTGAGAGTCACGGAGATGGATTTCAACTGCTCCCGTGGATATTCTACGCGCGATTTCTCGTTTCACGTCCATTCTTGTGAATAATTCATAAAAACGATAAAACTTTCAATGTCGGGTACAGGCAAAAAAGTGTCGACAGTCGCAAAAGTCGAGCAAGGGGATCATTACACTTTTTATTCCCACCTTTAGTCAAGGCTGTCTCGAATTGGAAATATTTACAATATATTAATAGTATAAAGCACGATTGGAAAGCTCACTTTCATTCGTATTTTATTGAATTCGATATATAATTATAATTATAATTGCATTGTAGATAATTATATAATACATAAAGCATAATAATATCAGAATAATACGTACTATTAGCGAAACTAATAATTATTAATCGTACAATAGTCATTAAACCTTTTATCTTTGTTGATATATCCAAACTACGGATTTCATCTATTTCAATTAATATTATATTAATATTACATAATATTACTATTAATGTTAAATACTAATGTTATACGTTATATTTTTATTTAATATGTTACTTTTTGCGCGAGATATTTCCTTTGATAAAGAATAACATAATTTTAATAAAGAAAGAACAGATCGCGCAAGAGTACGGCTTATCCTCTCATTAGTGATGTATCAAGTACATGCATGACGTACATACACAATGTGGATTTATGTCTCTCGCTTCCAGCTGGCGACCTAGAAAAGAGGATGCCGATATTTCCTCTGCATAAACCGAATATCGATGTCACGCAAACGGCAAATAAATCAAAAAAATTCGTGAAGTCTATGCATTTCTCGTCATACTAATATAAATTTATGAGCTATATTTGGACACTCACTCTATTTATAAAAAAGGGGATAGATAGTGACAGTCGACTGTAAAAGAATATTTATGAAAAATAATATATATATTCTTTTACATAAAATAATATAGTACATGTATCTTTTTATATTTTATTATACAATTTTCTTAGAGCTGGCAATAAAACTGACTTGTATTCTATATCATTACCTATTTATCACAAAATGATTGCACTTATACCTACTTAAAAATATAATTTAAAAAGCTGTCGAATTATTGAAACATTTCTTTTCATTTGAATCTTCTTTATATATAATTCTTTCCATATTTCAGGTCTTTAGAGATACTACGTTTTACGAACAATTTTTTAAATTGAAAATGTTCAAGTGTGATATTTCGTGCTTGATCTTTACCACGAGCTAACTCCGTTATTCTTGCCTTTGCCCATCGCCTTATTAATAATCGCATTTTTCTGTGGTAGCCGTTCTTTAACCAGAATACTTTGCCTTCGTTCATCTTTGAGACGGAAGAGCGATAGTTCTCGTTTGTAACTTTCCTCTATCGCGATCGTTCCTTTGTTTCCGTCAGCGGCGGATTCCTTTCTCGCTAGAAGCCGTTCGGCAGCGATTTATGAATTATTCACGGAATGGGCGAATTATTCACGAGGATGACTGCACGAACGGTCCGCGACACTTAATTGTAGGCAACCGAAAAGCGGGGCAAATCCATAATTTAAGAGGACCTCCTATCTTCGTCGCGGCTCGTTTGCACTCCGATTGCAATAAAGAGTGACATACAAGAATGACACGTTTTAATTTCCGTATATATTAATTGAAATAGAATTCTTTCTCCATCTTAATATGATGGAAATAATATGAAAACATGCAAATCGATAGAATGACGTTGTAATAATAATGATGACGACAATGTTTTTGTATAATCACTTTTATACGTAAGAGTTTTTTATTTTTCAATATTTAATAATCTCTTATTCGTATCGGCATAAATATACTTAATAAATTACTATTATCATTATAATAATAGATATCTATATTATTATATATTATTAATATAATTTTATCGTAATCGTTATAAATTTAAAAAAATCTGTTGTTACAGAGTTCAATAACACTGCAACATTTTCATTAAAATGACTTAATTGAAGATTAAAATTAAAATTAATTAAATAAACCCAAAGAATCACGTCCCTTTAAAACTAAATTTATATTAAATATTAAAATTTATGTTAGAAATGCCGTTTTTTTTTTAATTAAATTACATTTCTCTCCCGTTGACATACGAAGACAAATGCAACTGATATCTTTTTCTCGTAAGTTGCGTGATTGGCGATTATCGAATTTATTTCTTTGTGGAAACTTTCGTACGATTGTTATTGAACACTCAACTTCCTCGATATCGAGATATTTCTCCCACGAACGTGTGTTATCGCGTGGACGTAATGTATTACGTTCACCCTCGTATTCGTTTCTCCATCTATTCTTTATATCACGTTATCATCCTAGTGAGAATAATGTAATGTGCTCGTGGCTAATCTTCTGAATATTTATGATTCTTTTATTATTTGAGCCATTTAATATTTTCGGTGCCAAGTATAATTTTCTTTAATTACTTTTGTGCTGATTATTCTTCGAAAATAGTAGATTATTTTCTAATTTGAGCTGAAATATATTTATTAAAGAATTAATATTTAATTCCTTTACAAGTGTTATGTAAAATTATTTTTCTTTCGTGATCTGAATAAAATTTTATTCTGTAGTCATCAATAAACGAATCAATGAATCTTTTAATAATTGGCTGTATTTATGTTTTAGCCTCTTTTCTGACTTGAGGAGCCTGGCAGGAACGACCCTGATGAATCTTTTGGCAGCCCTTTTCATGGTTCAATTGTTGTTCATCGTAGGCGCTGGAGGAGTACAGGTGTGTTTACGTTTCTCTATTTCTATTCATTACGAGACAATTATCTTGTATATGTATACGAGATTAAAATTTTTTCTAAAGAATCCTTTATATATGAAAAATTGATAAATATCTACTACTATACTTTACATAAAATATGAAATATAATAATATCGCACGATCTCCAAATACACGTTACAAATATAATATTAGATGATTATTAAAAAGCTGTTTAAAAATATGATATCTGACAGAAAATTTTTTTGAGATGACATCTCTCTGACAAATATGAATTATAATGGTTATCCAGATATAACTGGAAAAAGTGAGAATTACATTGACACGACATTTTTTATTTAAAATTACCTTTAGAGTCTATTAATAAAATATTTGTATTTCCTCTCCGATTCCTTTTATACAAACATAATGCGAAAATCGACTTAAATCCGTCGAGGTGTAAATTCCAGTGGCTGCTTTTGGTTCTTCCGCTTTCAAAGAGAAGAGAGGGAGAGAGAAAGAGAAAGAGAAATTCCGTTTCGTGCTTGGTACATCAGCGAGAGTGCCGAGAAAAGCTTTCGTTGAGACTTCCTTCGTCTAATGTTCCGCACTTGAATCCTCTTTAATTAAGCTCCGAGATCCACAAGCTCGTCTCGAGACGCGACAGATTTCAGAATTCTCTTTTTTCTTTCCTCTGTTCGTTCTTTCTTTCATCCGGAAACATCCGAGAAGCGATGTCAGGCGTCCTCGTACATGAGGATGCCTAACATTGCCACTCGAATTCTCCCGACGAAATGCGATGCCGGTTACCGACAAACGGGAGAAAGCATTCCGGATTCTCTCGAGCGATTATACCGCAGGCAGAAGGAGAAAAGTCGTAGGAAGACGTTAGGAAGCGTTCAGAACTCAAAGCGGAAATTAGTGCAGCATTCCTATTTCCAAGTTTTAATTGCGTGTCGGTGACATCAACTTTTCGCCATCGGCGACAGGATTTGTGCCAAAAATTTTTCTCATTTATTTCCATGGATTTTAATATCGCGTGTGATATTATTAATTTTGTCACACTATCCCACGGTTATTAAATCAGCTATAAATGGCATTTAATGACTTCAACGAGATTAAAACCGCATTATTGGTCATCCTATCTTTACACCATTTATTAATCATCCCTATTATTGAGGTAGACTTTTATAATTATTTTTAATTGGAAATAATGGGAAATATATATCAATTAACTTCGCTGATTAAATCTATTGGGATTATATACAGAAAATTTATACAATATTACTATCAAATATCTTAAAAAATTATTTTCTATTATAAGCTTTTTTTATAAGCTATAATTTAAATTACTTGAAATCTACAATTTTTTTTTCTAGAATATAATAATGTAATAGTTTTTCTTTTTAGAAACGCACTTAGATAATAATTAGTAGTTGCATAATAACGATAAATGAAGAAAAAATAATGACATAGAATACCAACCATCATAAAAACGTTACGAATATTATTCACTGGCAAAAGTAAATTTCATTGCATTCTTCCTGCAGAAATGAAAACGTGTATATGTCATACCTGCTTTGAAAGGAGCGAACGAAAAGAATTTCTCTTAGATTTAACAACGAAGAAACAAGCGCACTCTCGTTTCTTTATCTTTAGATAACGAAAAGATTCGCTACACTTTCAGTGGTATATTTTTCTTCGTGAAGATTGAGACAAAAGTATATGCCAAAATGTATGTATAAACCAAAAAAATCCATGCTGAAATGAGATTCTTTTTAGGTCAAATGTTATTCATCGCAATTCTGCCGTTACAAATCGTGGCCTTTGATCTTTTGATATCCTCTCATGAAATGAATTTCGTTTTAAAAATGTAGGCAAAATATGAGAACCTTTCCATATGTTACTCATCGTAATATATAATTCAAGTTCATATTTTTGGTTTGATATTAATTAATATTCATAGATTCTATGAAGAATAGAATATCGTAACAGAATATTTTCATATCTGTTTTGCTTGATATCCAAAGTAGAAAAAATTCTCACTGAATATAAAATTTCACGTACGATATGAACGAAATTAGTTTTTTTTTTCGTAATTTAAATAATTTATAAATATTGTATATAATAAATTTAATTTAAACATCATTGCGTAGTAAATATTTTTTTTTAGTTTTCACGGAAGAATTTATTCATTTTTAATAAAATGAAATTTATGTGTTATTTTTATTTTATATTATTTTTATTTAATTAATATCATATTCACGGGAAATAACCGAATGGTAAAATGTGTAAAATATATTTTTTCGTTCTACATTTGCTAATCACCGAAAAAAATAGAACTAATTGACACTTGAACTTCATACTATCACTAAATAACGGGTACTAGTTGAGAGGACGAATAAAAAGAAAGTAAACCGGAAATAAATCGACGATTTTACGCATGAACGGAAAAAGAAGAAGGTCGTTTCAGTTGAGTGTTTTTTCTACGTGGTGCTAAATTTCATGATCGCGAACTAGGCGAAGTTCGCCACCAAGAACGACCCTACACACGAGTGATGTATCTCATTGTACATGTAGTAGGCGGGAAAAAAGAATCTATCTCAACGAAGAAACATTTACAAGCGAATGTGTTAAATGTTACGATGTCGAGGTACCATCTCTTCGAAAGCCGCCCTTTCGTGTAACTTCCTAATTGCGGTCTTGTTTCGTATCAGTACGCAAAGACGAATTTACATTGAATATATAGGACGATGAGCGAGTTTCTGGTGTAACGTTAAACTTAATGGAAATTTGGAATTATACAATATTTCAAAAGATTGATATAACAGTACAATAGCGTTTCAGTAAAAAATTCATATGTAGTAGAAATCAGTTAAATCAGTTAATCAGTTATTATGCACACACAGTACATCTCGCAATTACCGTAAAATTTTAATAGCGCATTGCATTCTGGAAATTAATAGCTCGTTATATGTTAGAGATTAATTACAATCGAAAATCCTGATAATGTATCGGAGTTACATTAGTTTTCGAGTCGTAAGTAGGTCAAAGCTGGCCAGTGGTGCGCAATATGCACAAGTAACTAAATACGTTTATACGTGTACCGATTCATCATCTGTTATTGATTTATTTTCCCAGTTCAGATTATATCGAATTTTTCCTGCTCAGCTAATTTGCATTTTATACGTGCTTGTTATGAAGGTATTACGTATACTGTAGTAATCAGCTAATTTTGACGAGTTGATCATTAGCGACAAATTTTAGATGACATGTACAAATTGTATAATTTTTTTATAAATAAATGATAATGTAAATGGCACGTTATTGAATACGCGAGATTACCAGGCTGTCATTCGTGTGACAAGCCGCATTGTTATCTCTGTGCACAAAATGCGATAATTTTCTGTGAATAATTATTTGGTGCATAACATTTATCAATATACACAACCGATTAACTCCATAATTAATTTGATTTATAAACATGTCAAAACGTCAAAAAGGAAATGGAAATTTTTAATTACCATTCCGTTGCGATATTTACGATAATTATTTTTTTAACTGATACTTGTTAGATTTATATTTCGCATTGCACTTTGAACTTTTCCTCTTTGATTTAAATGTAATTTATCCACAATTTTCGGACGGCGCTGAACAATACGCGCCTCGTCAAATCAAGCGATTCCAGTAAAAAAGCGTGATACTCGATCATTTATTAATAATTAAATTAAAATCAAAGAATAGAATGTTTGATGTAAATTCATTTTACAAAACGTTAAACGTTTCTCGCAACAATAAATCGACTGGCACACGTCCTTGGCGTTTGTCCTTTATTGTTAAAATTTACTAATAATAGTTAACTCGGCAGCTGATTACTATTGATTACTATAATATTTATAATACATATTAGATTTCAATCTTGACATTTTAATTTACGATCTCCAGAATACGCTGTGTCTAAAATAGTATACAGTATTTGTATGACTTGATATTCTAACAATTAATTAAATTGTGTCTAAAATTAACTACGAAATAAAACTATTAGATTATATACGTTAAAGACAAAGAGTTATTTTTATGTGACATATTTAACAAATATATTAGTTAACAGTTTTCAGTAAATTGTTATTAATGTACGATTGTTGATAAATCAGCATTTTTTTGGAAAACCAATAAACCATAAATTTGAAATAAATGAAATAACTTGACATTTTTTTTATTCGGCAAGATAAAACAATCAATAACAATATTTTCCGGCAACAAGACAGATGCAATGAGGAAGGGAGGAGGAGTTTATTAGAGACAGCAAAATCTCGCTTTATCATATCGCTTTTGACGGAGATAAATCTCTGTCTGTTGTAATTTCGCGACCGTCACGAAGCAATTCGGCTTTATTGTTACCCACCTCAGATTCGTGAAGAGAGACGAAAAATAAATTCAACCACGAGACCTCTCGCATATTTTCTTGATCCCGATTTTGAACAATTTTGATACACAGTGCTTGTTTCTGCGGAAATTGAAGAACATAAGAGAAATAGAGGCAAAGAGAAAAAAGAAAAAGGAAAAATCGATTTATCAGTCTGAAGCAAGTACTGCAAAATAAAGAATATACATATACAGGGTGTCTCTTAATTAAGGTCGGAGCCGCATTGGGGGCGTAGAATGGGCCAAGAGGAATAAAAAAGTTTATACCATTTTGCAATTTTAACAATAATTAACAAGATATTAATTACTAAAAATGGCTGAATATTGGTCTTTAATAATTTTTTTCTCAAATACTATTAACTTTACAGAAAAACTATAAGAGACAAAAATTGTTTATTTTCTTTTCATAAAGTTCTGAGAATTTTTTCAGAATTTTTTAATACCGTATTTTCTCTTGATAATAAAAGTAAGAAAATGCAGTAATCAACTAAAAAGTTGATAAAAAATTCTGAAAAAAATTCTTAAAGTTCTATGAGAAGAAAATAAACATTTTTTATCTCTTATAGTTTTTTTGTAAAATTGATAGTATTTGAGAAAAA